GTTGTGCGGGGTGCGAGGGCGGGTCAAGCTTGAAAGGGATTAAACATTAGTGATCAGTGACGGTGGAGCGGCGGCGTTTGAAGACTCACAGATTTTTGCTTCCGAGTGGCTTAGCTGGCATAGCATTAGCACAAAGGTGTGCGCTTGAAGGGAGCCTTGCGCTTCATGTAAGGCGTTTGCCGTTTACACAAAGGGTTGCGTTATGCGGGGCGCAAGGGCAGTTCAAGCTTGAAAGGGATTAAAGATAAGCGATTAGTGATGGAAAGAAAAGGTGGAGCGCCACACCATACCGAGTTAAACGGTCAAACAAAACTTCCCATGCATGATTCCGGATTCCGGAGTCTCTGAGTGACTACACTGGTTTCACCTGCCATCGTCTTGCATACAAATTACATTAGCATATATATATATTTGATCAAAATATCAACACACCTGACGAAATATTAGCGAACTATTCCATTCGATAGTAGCGGAGTGAATGAGCTAGCGATTTTCTTGGATTCGTGAACCAGAGCGTGGTCAACACCGCTACAACGCCACATTTTGATCCGAACCTGTTCTTCCCGCGTGGCGTTTTACGTGCCTTGCGTTTGCCTCATGCAGCACGTTTGGCGTTTTCACCGCGTCAGTTTGCCCTTGCGGAACTTGGGTTAGGAATATTAGGGACTGACGTCATAACGCGTATAGGGCAACGAGGCGCCTGAGTAGCAACTGGTCGGGCGAAACAAAGGCGAAACGCTTAGCAACATTTCCGGCTGCAGCATCCTGGGCCACGACTTCGATCATGGGTCGAGCTCGAAGGAGGATCGCCACTATGAGTAGTAGGAAATTATTTCAATCGGCATGGCTCGAGCTCGAAGGAGGACCAGCGTGCTTACGCTCTGTGAACAGTAGGCGATGGCTTTGATTAGCATAGTACGAGTTCGAAGGAGAATTAGCGTACCCGCTTTCTGTGAACGGCGGAAGATGTCTGTGATGAAAAGCAGCAGCAATGTCATCTGCAAGCAGCTTCCCACCGCAAATGAGAGCAACTATCAGTGCAACTATCAGAGAGCTGAAGACCTTGGAGCCCGGCTGCTACACATCATAGCGATCCCATATGTTTCGGACAAGCCCAGCGATGCTGCATACCCTGAAAAGAAACATTAGTGCAAACTTTGGAGCGTCAAGCTTACGTACCCTCTCATTATCTCTATCGCAAGGACTCTTGTCTATACTGGACGTGAGTCAGAATGGTCCGAATCCGACGCGTCGTAGCTGACTCGTCAACGCACTCTTGAAGGCTTCTAAACACTCATCGCACAAAGACGCCCTGTGAATAGTGGTAGCGTTTGTCTGATAAATGTGCTCACATGGGCAGAGTGCCACGGAATATTGTACTCTTAATTGAAAACAAAAATTGTAGGATGCCATGAGATCTAGTAGTGAGAAAAGACAAGCCTAGGTGCACGAACTCGTACTGGGTATGCGCAAAGGTCGGAATTTATGTAAGCTGGATCGAGTTACGAAGGAGAAGTAATAACAGCAATTTAAGAGTCATCGCAACATAGTTGTGTTTCGGAACAGTGTAATATAGCACAGAGAATGAAAATCCTTGCTCGCCCGGCCTGCCCCGGAAATGCTAATCGAAAGTGAGATCACGTGATTCTCTAGACACCATCGTGTATATGCCCCTCTGTACGCTGATCTCATATAAGAGCTGCTGTATCAATTCTGTTTCCACTCCTTCAAGTTCAGACGAAGTGTCTAGTAGGGCGAGAAGTGGTAAGAGGATGAATGACTGTGTTGGGTCGATGACGGCCAGCCTGACAGCCCGACGGACATCGGTGAGCAAGCATGACAGGATCTTGAACCGCACCGGCTGGCTAAGGTGAAGGTGAGTAACCGAGGAAAATGGGGACAATACGGTGTGCCAGGATACATCATCAGTATCGGCCTCATATATCGCATCCATATGTAACCGCACACATTGTACTTGAGACGAAGCGATACCTTTGGTAAAGGCAATGAGTCTGCGTACTACGTTGTCCGTAGATTGAATCCGAGTGAAGTGGAATTCGACCATGATGAGGGCTTGCACGTCCTCACAATTGGCGTCCGTGAAAGTCGAGCCGATCAGACGGATATTATTAAAGTCACAGTGCATGGACACGGAGCGCACGTCCATAGCCCTTGTCTTCACCCGAAGGGACGAATAAAATTTTGTCATTTCTGCCGCCGTTGGATATTGCGTGGTATCCTGGCAAACGAGATCCAAAACTTTGAGCTCCTTCGTTGCAACAGCATCGAGAAAGATTGCACAATCCATGGCGGGGCAGTGAATGCACAAGGATTGGAGGCACGGTAACTGCACTGGCTCGGCATGTTGCTCAGGAATGTTGTCGAGTTTCAACAAGACCTCGCGCATAACTAGCGTTTGAAGGAGGGGGAGGTTCGATAAGACCGACAGGACGGCCGTAAGGGATGGTTTGACTTCGTCGGGAAAGCCAACAACGCGTAATTCGACCAGGTTCGTGAAAGCGAACTTGTCCCATGAAAAGATGCATCCATACAAACAGAGCTTCCGCAGCAATGGCGCATCTAGCATCATAAGGGTGTCAGGTACTTGCAGGACGTGATCTGAGTCGCCCATCATGCGCGATACTCCCAAGTACAAAGTTTCCAATGCGGGAGCACGGTGAGGAAATCGAGATAACACTGCGGAGACAATCGATGGTGACGCATGAATATGAAAATCATTGAGCCGATGAAGAGCGGAAACTACGAGGCTCAGATTGGTAGCGCAGTTCGGCATTTGCAGATCCTCAGCGTTCCACTGCGCAAAATCAATAGCGATACTGAAAGGAAGAGGCGCCGAGCGTTGCAATATCATTTCCATGAATTTGGGACAGGCCGACATGTTCATAGCATCCCTCCAGAGGGATGGATACTCCAGGCATATTTGCCGCATCCGACGGCACACTTGGCTGCAAGATACAAGACTGTAGGCATCTGGCTCATCCCCTACAACAAGCAAGGACAAAACAACAACGACGAGCTCCACTGGCAGCTTGAATAGAGGGGTGAGGCTGTTCCGCGTCTCTTTCAGCTCTTGGACCGCGCCGGTGAGTTGATTGATGCGAGCTTCGACCTCGGTAAGATCTTGGTATGCGACCAGGTCTGTTTGTCTCCGCTGAAGGCGGGTATGCGAGGCGATATGAAAAAACTGGACGACAGTGGAGCCTAAAAAAGCTTGTCAGTGTAGGGCTCGTCAGAAAATTTGGAAATAGACTACCTAACAGAATCCCCATCATGAAGCACATAGAGGTACGCGAGGCGGTGCAAAAAACTCGAATGATGGTTTGCCCTAAAAAAAAAGTCATCAACGGAGGGCTTATCAGAGATTTGGGAACCAGAATACCTAGTAACAGGAGCCACATCATGAAGCACATAGAGGTACGCGAGGCGATGCAAAAAACTCGAATGATGGTTTGCCCTAAAAAAAGGTCATCAACGGAGGGCTTATCAGAGATTTGGGAACCAGATTACCTAGTAACAGGAGCCACATCATGAAGCACATAGAGGTACGCGAGGCGATGCAAAAAACTCGAATGATGGTTGGCCCTAAAAAAGGTCATCAACAGAGGGCTTATCAGAGATTTGGGAACCAGACTACCTAGTACCAGGAGCCACATCATGAGCCACATAGACGTAAGGATGATCATGGCAGACAAAGATGATGGTGAGAGACATGGATACTAGGTAAACGACGTCAAGTTATAATATAAAGCGGACGATCAAGACAAAGAACTCACCTGAGTGGCTCACTTGTCCTAGCCGTTGGTACAAAGGGATACCATTTGAGGGGAATCAATGACGGCCTACCTTAGTAGAAATGAGGTTAGTTACTAATGAAGGACATCGCTGACACAGGAAACAAAGGACGTGGCTGACATAGGAGACGAGTATGACGATGAAATTTATCTATATTGAAACCCCAGAAGGCATCGTGCGATTAGGATAATCAATCTTCAATCATCCAGATAGAAAGTCCAACGTTTGCGGCGTTTGTGGCGTTTTGCATACCTCACATTTGCCTCATGCACTGTTTGACGTTTTGCACCGCCTTAGCCTTGCCTCTGGGCCAGTTTCCTCTGATGGAGCTTGGTCGGTTGGTTTGGTTTGTGTTTATCGGGGGATCTAGGGGGAAAATACCAGATTTGGAGGAGAAGGTCGGGGATAATCCCGGCCCAACGTGATTTCGACTTTAGGCAGGTCCAAAATGCGTTCCTAGAACCCCCTCAGTTAGGTTCCGCTCTACAAAAAGGAAAAACGGACGGGTCTAAGGCCTCGGTAAGTCCTCTGACTGCTATAGCGCTGCATTATGGCTCGGTGTTCAGATGAGGGTGGGGGAAGATACGCGAAAATTTGGCTCTGATTGGAGGTATCGTGGGTCGACCGGTCAAATTTGGCGCCGCCGCCCATCACTAAAGAACGACCGGGGTCCTACGTAGTACCGATACAAAGCAGGAATTCTGAAATCACTACGGAAATGAGAATTGATCAGACCCGAGGGAGAAAGCAAGGATGATCCGAGGCAAAGCAGACCTAGCTTATAATCCAATATAAATCCGAGGTATGGTGTAGTCTTAGAACGGTCTAGCAAGTGCACGTCAAAGAAGATAGGGCTCGTTGGGAATAACAAAGCAGGGCAGCATCGCGAATCTGATCAGTGTTTCCTCGAATCGACGAAGATGGCCGCCAGCATAACAAACCAACTTATCAACAAATACACGAGGCTGCTGCATCAGCCAATCAAGTCCAGACATGTACTAGTAGTAACTTTTGTTCGACAGATTGATAATTGACATAAGATAGCTATATAATTGCGCAAGTACATACCACCAACAATCTGCTCAGATCGATACAACACAATGGCCACTCCCTCAGGTACGTCCTGCGATGTCCAACTTGCCAGTATTATTGAGTATATACACTAAGAATCTTCCGATTTATCAACCATGGCTTTTGCTACTCCACGGTCATCTTTGGGCGGCTCCGCCTATTTAGGCACCAACTTAAACATGTACACTACTGCTGAATCCAACTTGAATTCCGGCAATTCCGACACCTGGAGCAGACGCGCGGCACGCGCCACTTCTAACTGGAGCGGCACTGTTATGTCGGACGATGATGAGCCTGTCATCCCCATCAATAACCGACCGCAGGCCATTAGGCCTAACATGACTAGTAAGTCCTGATTTGATTTTTGAGCCTACCGACTGACTACATACAAAGTCGCTGATATAATGGAAGCCATTGAATGCATGCGTGTCAACATGACAGATAGTTTTAATATGCTGCTTACACTTTCCACTGCGAACACAAAATACGCCGAGCAAGGTGTCACACTTGGGATAGCTGCGAAGGAGGTTGCGGAGACAACTATGACTCAGCTGCAGGATCTAAGGGCTCAGATTCAACGTGTGGAGGACAAGATTAATACAGATGAGAGGACTCGGAGATGGCTGGCATAGGGCTTTGTGGCATTGTAGTACTAATCAATTTGCGATATATAGACTTGTAACTGGAACTTCCGCCCGAAATCTTTTGTTCGCCTGTTCTCTGCGAAGAGACGAGCATTTCCTTGAAGGTTGGCAGAGCAATGGCGAAGCCGTGAGTTGTGATTCGCTTAAAATTCACTTTCACCTTCCCTTGCACCTTTCGCTTCCGTTCAACTTCCGTTGGCCTCCGTTCAATCTTGACAATCTCTGCCATCTCGAAGCAGCATCCTACGGCCTCGAGCGCCTGGTTGTATCCTTCCCGCCTCTTGGTCTTGCGAGCCCGTGTGGTGTCACTTTCCAACCAATATTGAGTTCAGATCTAGCTTCGTCCTTGACTCCTTACATTAATGAGGCATTGACCCTCGTGTTGTATGCATTTACTTTTTTCGTTGTTATTTTCTTTCGAGAGACTCTCAGATTCCCGCGCAGGATGAGGATTGGCCTACCCTTGTAACGATTCTTGCCTTCTAGGACTGTGTGCGTGTGCGCTTTCTGACGTCGTACGATAATCTAGCATCGAGAAAGCGCAAAATCAGCAGGAATCGAGTCATACTGAATAGCATCAAGGGTAGGACTCGTCGTACGAGTTGTATGATGTATCAACGTGAGTTCTGACTTTGGCTGTAACGTCAACCTCCATCTTACACTTGAATTAGAGCAGTGCCATCGTCGCAGGTGAGTTCGGATGATAGCGCATCTCAAAGGTTATTGACGGACTTGTCTCTCTCTACTGCCTGCTTCGCATGCGCAACCGACCGGAGCGCTTGTAGTATGTACAAAGGATAGAACATGAATGCCAAGATGTAAAGAAAATACCGAGGCACAAGAATGATATCAGGCGGCAATTGGAACTGCAGGCCTAAATGGGAACTTCGTCTACAACGGGGACTTGAGCGCAGCATCCGCAGAGGTAACGTTCGCAGGCTGCTCAATAGGCATTGTAACAGGATGGCCCTTTCGCTCCTTCACACCTTTATCAAGCTCTTTAAGTGCTTCATCCACACGAGTCACCACCGCGCGCCTTGCATTCCTCACTACGTCTGACCCAAAGCTTGGAATGTTGTCCAAGTCTGCGAAGAGCAACGAAAGCGCATGCTCCTGAGCGCGGACAGGCGCATTGGCCGGGGTGTAAATCAATGCAAATACATCAGCGGTGCCGAGGGCTGGAAAGAAATCGAGCTCAGCAGGGAACTGGAAGGCAGCGAGGGGGCTCTTGAGACGGGCGGAGAGGGTTACTTCGGACCGGTGCTCTGCCATAAGACGGCGCTGTTCCTCAAGAAGAAATCATGTCCTTGAGCGAGGGCTCGTCCGGGCCAGAGACCTTGGATTGTAGTAAGTCACACGAAGCTGAGTTATTGAACCCGTGAAAACATCTAGGATTGATGGTCCCTGCGAAGAAGTTCTCAGCATCTAAACGGCGGCGGCGAGCGAGGAGTCGTTGCTCCTCGAGGTGAGCCTGGAAAGCAGCAGATCGTTCCACTCCTGGGTACTGGCCTCGTGTTCACAAACGGCACAAACGGCCTGATTGCGGATAGCACGGTCAGCCCGTTGGATTTCAGCCTTCTTATGGGCGCTGTCACCGTCGAACGGGAACTGGACGTCGAAACCCTGATCGTCTGGCATACGGTACAGAACGTCTCGCATCATGCGGTCCTGATCTGGAGACTCATCGTATTCTTGTGCATGGAGAGCATTCGAGGTAGGCTGATTCACAAGCTGTTGCTGTATATGAAGAGCCAGTGCGCGCTCACGTTGCTCTCTGTCATACTGGGGAGCATGAGGATTAAGAGGGAAGGGGAACGGGCGGTAGTGGGAACAGGGATGAGTCATTGGGACAGGTGTAGTGAAGGTCATTGTGAATTTGGGATTGGGACGAGTTTATGAGAGATTGCATGTTGGGTGTTGAATTTATATGTCCGGATGATGTGGACTTGTGGACTACTAATATTTCCCTTTGTGAACAGAGGCGTCCACTATTCTGTTGCGCACTCAGTGTAAAGGCGCAATCGCCACGGTGACTTCAGGTTAATAGTCACGTACTGTCACGACCGTGACCGTTGAACAATTGACACGATTTTGACTAGTCTCAACAGGTCTCAACCCCAAATCGATAGAGCTACCTTGTCCTTCCTTTGATCTAACGGCGCTCGGCCGCGCCAGTCCCCGACTCCACATGAAGACACCAAGAAAACATATGATTCACGAATAATTGTAGTACGACGACATCGAACGCCTATACTTAGACGCGGTGGATACCACATTCATGTCATGAGCGCAAACGTTTCCATGAAAAACTTTTAGCTGCAACGGATCCGATGACTGGAACAAGCGTGTCCCTGCCTTATCGAGCATCGCACCATCGAGATTCTTAATTTTGAACGTGAAAGATGCAGAGACGCGCTGCACGATACATTTTCGGATGATGAAGGCGTCTGTAATGCGAAGAGCATCCAAAATAATTCGCGGGCACGGTGCTCCAGGGTCTGCTGAAATAACAACCTCCATGGATCCAGACTGCCTTTGAGAACAGACAGCGCACACAGGAGGATCAGCAAACTCACTCGGTGCCATCAACAACGATACTCGATGTTGGCTCATAGATATACAAACACCGTCGTACGAAACAAAACCGTGAAATTCCGAACAGCTGCACGCTGAACAAGACAAAGGATGAGATTTAAGACAGGTTTTCAACCAAGCGCGAAATCGGACATTTCAAAAATGGCAAAATGATATTGTGGATAATAGAGGGCATCATAATAATGAGGATAGTGCTTCACATAACGGGGGTCGTCACAGGGAGGACACTGTCCCTCCTCGAGGAGGCGAGCCAAACGGCAGGGCGACTTCGTAAGAAAAACCCTGAAAATGCATGAGCCATACTGCATCGAAACAAAACGGAAAATATGAACTCACATGCTGTCCGATCCGTTCCTGTTCGTGTTCAGCGATGAAAGCAGTCGAAAAAGCTAATGGTCGTACGATGGAGCGTTTGGGAGAACGACTATGTAAAGGCCAGTGTTGAGCCATTGCCCAAGTATTTTCCCACTGACTAAGCCACTTTTGTTCCCACGGGTGCGTTTGCAGAGAATTAGCCATTTGCGTCCGACAAAACCCTCTCTCACTAACGTGAGAGTCGGGGACTAATTCATGGCACTGCTACAATTCTTTCTGCCGCGATGTCTTTGTCCGTTCGTTTCATAGTCGCTTCTGAAAGCATCAAAGCAATAAGCAAAACAGTCTGAGTGGTTTCGTATTCTAATCTTCCTTCCTTGGCAAGACATTATCATATCCGTAAGCTACTATCATATCACACTGATCGGTGTTATTACTCTGGTACTGATGATGGTCTGGCAGCTTTGCAAGGCCCTTCGCCAGATGTATATATATGTCGTCTTCCGAATCGCCTCGAGGCCCCTTGCGGTGACCGGTCAAGCTCATCTAAACGACGCTGCTACCCACTCAGGCTCTTCTGGTAATTATTATAATTATGGACAGGTAAATGTACCGTAAATTTCTCTGAATATACTTGTGGTTTCTTGCAGCGATATAATGGTTTGTTCTAGGGATGCCCGAGGCGTGGCGCGGCGATCATGGAGTGGGACTAAATGTCTGAGGACAAATTTTAGCATGTGGATTTTTTTGTTTCCTCGGCGTTTACAGTGCGACTAGCCAAAGAACTATCTATCCCCATTGACTCGGTTTCTCAGGCCGTTACCTACCTGTACCAAGTATCAGAGGCACGTCGAGTTTTCTTGAAACTTCCCGTGTCATGATCATCCTAACACATTTTTACATATTCCAGATATATGAAGCTCTTGGCCATGGAAAAACCTTACGGTTCATTCACGCATATGTTGTATGAGGTATGAGGAATACGAAGCAATACAATCGCCCGATCACGCTGTTAATTATAAGGTTTTCGGCACAGATTGTACATGTTGAGAAGTGAAGATCGACACATGTAGTAACAGCCCCTTTGTCACGGCTTCTCGAACCCCAGGACAACGACACGGACCCTAGCCTAGGGTCATCGTCAATGCCACGCCACATTCTACCCTATTCCGGCACCCCAGTTTTGAGCGGTGAAGAACTTTGGGCCTGTTGTGACTGACATCGTGGAGCATTTCACCCTTGCTTTATTCATTAAGTGCGTGTACCTGTCAGGAAGTCACATCAAGCCTTTGTTCTGATTCGTTATACATTTTAGCCTCGTGTTTGCGGACAAAAGGCTATCGCTCGTGATAACGCCCGCGACTGGTCCGTCTAATCCGGAGGGCACATGTACAAAGCATTCCCATGTTAGAAGCACACAAAAGAGATGCACAAATTATATCAACGTATGTAAATCGGGCACGAACAGCCTCGCCAGCCCCGCAACGTGGGTTTTTCCAACAGCCATCGATTATCTTCCAAATTGTGATGTGATGGTAACCTCATATCTTGCACGGTTCTTTGATCCTTCGTATCATCGTTCCTCGGCGTGTTCCGGCAGACATCAGTAAATCAAGATCTCATCCTTTGAGCCGGTATGATGTTGACGCTCAGGTGATTGCTCGAGTTACATCTTCGACGTCTTTCTTTGTGCACTGCGGCGCATGCGCATACCATTATCAGCCCTTCTCTTCGTTTGGATGCTGGCATTTGTCATGACGCGCTTTCGGATCCACTTCGCACTGTGTTCGTCCTCTCCCTCGAAATACGCAAGGCTGAATTCGCGACGGCTGATCTCACGACTCTCGTTAGAAACAGTGACGAATCCAATGAGATACCTATCTGATCTCTTGGCGACGTTTGGCATCTTTGACAAACGTCGATGAACAAGAGTACTGCGGCTCGATGCTGATTGATGCAGAGTTGACAAGCATGCGAATCTTGATCGTCTGGCATACGGATACGTAATCCAGGGGGTGCAAGATTTAGTTGATGCTCACAAGATATAACTTAGGTCTCGTAAGGTTTTATGATATTCACTTTTGTCGACAGCTTGTTGTACCTTTTGGGTAGTAAAGACAGTTTAAACAGCAACACTAATATTAATATTGTTCCGCTGCCGCCGAGTTTTAGTCTACTAATCTGGTAGCAGTATATCTTTCTCCGAGTCAGAGCATGGCGAAGGCAATGCATTATAACGGACATCAGTACTCAGTCTCGGTAAAGCGAGAATTAGCACCCGAAAACGAATCACTTGTGTTTGAAAGCGAAACGAAATGTCGAAACTCTGAATTGAAATCGCTGGGAATTTTGTCCGCTGGCGCCCTTCATGCGAAATTGAAACCGAAACCGAAAACGCGTGAAAGCAAATAAGTGAAATCAAAATCATGAAATCGAAACTTAACGTGAAAATCAGTCTCGGTAAAGCGAGAATTAGCACCCGAAAACGAATCACTTGTGTTTGAAAGTAATGATTCGTCTGACGCTTAGCGTTCGGTGTTTGGTGTTTGGCTTTGGTGTTTGGCGTTAGGCGTTTGGCGTTTGGCGTTTGGTGTTTGGTGTTTGGTGTTTGGCGTTTGGTGTTTGGTGTTTGGCGTTTGGCGTTTGGCGTTTTGCACCGCCACATGGGCAACAAGTGAAAAGACGAGATTCACGAGAATACGCACTAGCTAAGAGCGGGATGCGGCCAGAGCACCATCAGCATCGGGCAAACAAGTAAAAAGACGAGAACACGCACTAGTTAAGAGCGGGACGCAACCAGAGCACCATCAGCGTCTGGCAAGCAAGTAAAAAGATGAGAAGACGCAGCAGGACAACATAGAATGACATCATGGTGTCACGACTAGCATTGGTCACGTCCAACATACAGTTCATCCGGAAAATGCCGGATGAACAATATTACTAAATCGGGACGTTACACTCAGACTCATCGATCAGTCACGACGACTTCAGATTTATTATCGACTATCTCTTACATCGTGTAGCATGAATAACGACGGAAACGCCAACGTCGGAGGAGACAGAAACGCTAACGTCGGAGGAGACGAAAACGGGAACAACAATCAGCTTCCTCAACATCTATTCCAGCATATGCCGCGCCCTCGAGAGGTGTTCTTCACAATGAGCGAGAGGCAAATTGTGAGGAATACGTATATTAGCAAATACAATACTGATATTATTTAAGGAGTTACTGTATGTTACATGGGCCGCTGCGCGGATGCGCGTACGCCAACAAGTCTACCGTCCAGAAGTGCCGTTTCTCCCAAACCCGTTGCCTCCGTTGTGGCCGGACGAAGTACGTGCGATGATGGTATTGTGGATTGCGAGGGAGCGTCGGATGTTTGAGATGGAAATCAGGGAACTCGAATACCTCCTAGGATTGAGAGGTGCGCGTTAGCGCTCATAGGTAAGCCATCTTCAAAGTAAAAAAAATTCAAATAGACTTACAAGTTTCAGACCGCGTACGGACGAAGATGGGTGAAGGATCTAGTTAAGCGACTGCACAAAGCGGATATATAGCACAATATGTACTTTTACCAGACACTCGAGCTCCAGAAGACAAACATGGCGTGGAAGGTCAGCCAAAACACGCTCTCAAGACCGAAACTGCCTCGGCATGCTAAGGGACATGTTAGTAAGACAACCAGTTGGCGGAGCGGAAGTGCATGGTGCATCCGCAGAATCGAGCGTTGGAGTAGTCGAGGTCAAGGTGTCAGAAGGTCAGCTAAACACGCTCGAGACCGAAACTGCCTCGGCATACTACGGCGACATGTTGTTAAGACGACTAGTTGGCACAGCGGAAGTGCGTGGTGTATAGAGATGATCGTGAGAGGCAGGGATACTAGGTAAACGACGTTAAGTTATAATATAAAGCGGACGATCAAGACAAAGAACTCACCTGTCGACGGCATGAGCTCGGA